GGGTGATCCTCCTAGAAGATGAGACCTTAAGCATCTGAAAGCTCCCACGGCTTTCATCTTACTCAACAGTGAAAGGCAATTCCTTCAAATGCTCAAGTCCCATGTCACACACTGGTCCTGACCCAGCCACACCATCACTTCTCTGGACCCTTTTTTTCTCCTCTTCGCATTCTGTTCTTGCCAGTCTCACTTCCTTTGTCCCTGGAACAGGCCAGGAATTCTTCCCTTGTGCTAGCTGTTCTTTCTGCCCACAGTCTTCTTTCCCAAATATCATCTGTATGTACATGACCTACACAGTTTTCACTTCACTGTCTCCGTGCCTGAGTATCATACCTGCCACACAGTAGGCACTTTCTTCTGCAAGAAGGAGAAGGAAACCAAGTAACAGGGAAGCCCTGGAACATTGAGGGGAGGCCAGGAGCTCAGTGATAGCTCATGGATGTGAAGGTGTGACCGCAGAAGCCGTGGGCTGTTATCCTCCTTAGGTCAGTGGGTGCTATCCATGAGAACTGCTCTGAACTTGACATCTTTTCTGGTAATTTCCAACTGATGTCTTTCTAATATTTACAACCATGTTTCCATTTCTTTCCTGCCATTACTGTAGTTGTATCTGCCTCCTACCTGATTCAGAAGGAGTGTGACAAATGACACATAATATACTGCTTTCACTTCCTGTCATGCAGTTCTGGAAATTCTCCAGTTTCTGCTGTTTGTCCGCTGGGCCATTCTGACCACCCCAACTCCAGGTACCGCTCTCTTCTGGGGCCTTTATATGGCTCCTCTAAGTTTGTCTTTCAGATTGCACGTTGCTTCGGATAAAAATCGTGAACAACATATGGCCTGTTATGATTCTCTTTCCCCAAACTCTGCCATTTTGTATATTTGTGACACACTGCAGATTTTGTAAAGATTGCTTCATAATATTTGTTTGCCATCTGCCGTACTCTATTTGGTATCTTGCTAGGATTTTTGCCTCCATTTTAAGTGACATTAACAAAATCCAGCCAGTACATAGACTTTCCGGTTCTCCTTTTGCTTCCCTAATGTGCTGGAAAATCATATTACTATGCTCCAGGCAACTAGAGAAGTCTGGGATTGTCATTGCGAACCAGTGTGTCAGATCTCTGAGCGCACCCTCTCCCCGGTTATATCCTGTAATGTTCCTTTGGTCAGATGGCAAAGAACCTTCATGTATAAGACAGAAAAGAGCTCAGGTTATATCTTTCTTCTTTCCGCTCAGCGCCACTTCCTTCTGGAGCTCTATACCAACCGTCTGTACCTTTCGAACTCTTGGTTCCCTTTTAGTTAAGTTCTTAGGATTCATGACTCCAGTGAGTGTAGTTTTAAAATAGCCAGTACAGTTTGAAAGGCAAATAGCCAGGCCGTTTGCTGGAGCTGTCTGAGGAGGTCTAACTTTTGGGGTAAAGATGTTCCAGGTCACTTTCCACTAAGCTGCTTGGTAGCACTCTGCTTTCCTCTCTCACTTGCTTCCCAGGCCTGTCCCTTAACTGCTTCCTCTCTTTAAACGCTGGGGTGAGTGGTTTCTTCCTGAGCCTGGCATCAGGGGGTCAGGGGCAGGTTCCGTTTCACTTTTTGGCCAGCATCACCTGCATTCTCATGAGTGTGGTTATTTTTCCAACCCAACTTCCCACTTTGACAAGAACAGCATCTTCATTAAAGCAGCTATGCACGGAAATTAGAGGGTAAAGCAGTCCCCTGAGAAACCAAGACATCCATCCTGTTAGGCCATACGAACTATTAGTTACTGTGTCACATAAGCCTGATTTTATCACCAGGCTTAATTGGAATTCTCCTTTCAACTGGTCTGAGCTCTTCCCTTGGAGTCAGACCCATGTTGTAGGCTCGCGGCAGCACTCCTTCCACCCTTCCGTCTGCTACAGCGCCTTGGCGGTGGGGCCTGTCTGCTGTGCTTGGAGTCTCTGTGAGGCATCGATCTGCCAGCTGACTTCCCTGACAGAAATCCTCAAGCTTACATAGAAACCACAATTCCAGAATACTTTAATAAGTAGTCTTAAGTACTTAAGTCTGGGTTTGCAAGTTTAGAAATTCCCCACCTCATTCCATCTCCCACTTCGCCCCCACTTCCTCTCTCCTTCAATGCTTCCTTGTCTTAATTTAGATAGATAATTGTGTAAATGGTACGTATGGAATTTATGGTCTCTCATCAAGTCATAAAAGGCTTTTCACTTTTACTAAACTCTGAGTGCTTTCCTGTTCTATTCATGGAATACCTTCCTGATGTCCTGTGTGTTTGTGTGTATGTGTGTGTGTGTCTGTTGAAATTTGAATGTGAACTGTATCTGCATAGCTAACTCTGATGCAGGAATGAGATTGGCCAAAAGCTCCTTTATGTTGGACAGAATTTGGCCCAGATTGGCTGATTATGTGTGTGCTCATGTGTGTGTGCAGGTACACATGTATTTGTGTGAGCATGTCTGTGGTGGTCACAGGTTGACTTCAGATGTCTTTTTTAGTCTCCATTGTCTTTTTTTGAGACAGGGTTTCTCTGCAGCTTTGGAGCCTGTCCTGGAACTAGCTCTTGTAGACCAGACTGGCCTTGAACTCACAAAAATCCGCCTGCCTCTGCCTCCCCAGTGCTGGGATTAAAGGCATGAGCCACCATTGCCCGTCTTCCATTGTATTCTTTAAGGCAAGTTCTCTTACTAAATCTGGAGCTTGGCTAGACTGGCTCTCCGGTGAGACCCAGGTACCCTCCTGTCTCCTTGTCCCTAGCACAGGGATTTTATTTGCTTGGCAAGCACTTTACCAACAGAGCTATGTTCCCAGCCTTTTTTGACCTGACTTTAAAACTATGGTATGCCTTTGTGGGTGTTGGTACATAGTCTTCCATACTTTTATACTATGTTCTCTCTTCTTCCTTGTCTTCTGAGTTTCAAAGGAAACTTCCAGCTTAGCCTTGAGTATGTTAGTTTCTAAGACCCACAAAGAAACGCCTGCTAGATGGTGTTTCTCTCCAGTGTGTCCTTAGAAAGTCTGTATTGAAAACTAAACACAGAAAAAGCAGTTCTTTATGTGTAGAAATTTCTCAGACATGCAGGGATGCATGCAGGAATGTGTCTTTTGCATACCATTGTGGTACTCTTGTTTGTAGAGTTTTCAGTAGGGGTTCTGGACAGCTCCCAGCTGTTTGGACAGTGATTTGGAGACACTGATTCAGTAGACTTGGGGAACTGTGCAGCACGAGGCTTTGGAAAGAAGACCCTTTGCGAACCATTGGCTGAAGTCATGGAGGGTAACGGAGGGAAATGCTGCTTTCCCCGGTGCTGTCAGTTTGCTGCTGCCTACTGAGAGCAAAAAGGAGCCACTAGTATTTTGCTTGGTAATAGGCTAATTGGGAAAAGCACAGAGCCCTTCCCGTGGCCCCCATGATCTTGTCACCAAACAGGAGGACATCTTCATAATGTCTTCCTGTGGACAAGTGGGTATGCCTATGTATGATGGGATACTTGTGTGATGAACCAAATCCCTCTGTTCTTTCAGAGCTGTGCAAACTTATTCTTTTAGGATGAGATGCCCAATGTGCCAGGTTTGGAATGGGCCCATCTAATCAAATCTGCAGTTATATGCCCATGAGTGAGCAGACCTATAGTGCTGACTGTTTAGCAAGTACTCAGATCCTGAGCATCTTGCCGAGGGCTGCCCCGTCTAGACTGTTACCTGGGCAGAGCAGGCTCTGCACGCTGCTCCAGTGGTTGAGCATTTTTTCTTTGAACTGTGTATTTAGAATTTCTGCATCAGCCGTCAGATGCTCCCGCTCTTGTTAAAATTTTGTTATTACATTTCCTTCTTTCTTTCATCCATCCATTCATTCAGTGTGTGTGCTTGGATGCCCGTGGGAACGCATATGCTGCCGCATATGTGCAGAGGCCAGAGGCCAGCTTCCAGGAGCTGAATCCCTCCTTCACCAGTGTGGAGTCTAGGGATCGAACTCAGCTTGTCAGGCTGGAAAGCAGGTGCTTTATTCACTGGGCCATCTTGGTCACCACGTGTTCCTACTCTTTAGAATGATGAGCTATCAAAATATTTAGAAATAACAAGAAAGTTATTCTAGTCCAGCCTGGGAAAAGATGTTGGTGGTGATTAGGTCAACAATTCTATTTTAGGTTAAAATTGAGATCTGGTCTTCTCAAGAGGTCTATTTTTAGGTTCTTAAAAACAGCTTTTCAAACTAAGAGAATTACTGAAATGAGCTCATGGTTTCTAGATGTGAGTTCTTTACTATTTATTCACATTCTGGTTATAGGTTTTGTAAAGTCTTAATAGCCCTGAGTCTTGAGACTATTTACATTATTTCAAAATAGCATGAATCACCGTTTGATTCTTGCAGGTCAGAGGACTGGGACAAACAAAACCCTTAGAGAGAGCTTTGCAAGATAGGATGGAAGACGGAAGCCTACTGTTAGAGCCCCTTTGCTGTGAGCCTTGTGCGAGGCCCAGGCTTGCCTTCTGTAAAGCAGAACGAGCCCTGCTGTCCGCAGTGCAGGGCTGTAGTCTGGTTTTCGGGCAGTGTAGCATGTGAAGCCCAAGTCAGAGCCCCTTCCTGCAACAGTGTTTAGCAAATGGGAGACATTTTCACCTGCTTCAGTGATGTGGTCAGTTTTTTGGGAGAGAGGAAGAATAGGGAACGGGAACACGGCGCCACATGAGACATAAAAGTACCAAAGTAGAGCGAGAGGCCTCTCTTCCTTCAACAGCCAATCTTGTCCTACTCCAGTCAAATTTACTTGACCTAGATATGCGTCGAGAATAACTAGAGAAGTATTTTGATTTTTTTTACCTTCCTTTTAAAAGAAAATTTTAGTTCTTCCTCGAGCAGGTGCTCTAGCTCCTTTTCTGGCCTCTGTGAGCCCTGCTCCCGTGTGTACATCTTCCCGCACATTCACACAATGAAACGATAAGATAAATAATAAAAAAGAATGCAAGTCTTACCACTTTCATCATATTCATTTTTTGAACAGATGAAGATGAAGATGGTGATAGGATTACAGTGAGAAGTGATGAAGAAATGAAGGCAATGCTGTCATACGTAAGTGCACTGCATACGATGGCTATTGTAGTGTTTTTAAAAACGTTTTATCTGTGTGTGCGTGCACGCGCATGCCTGCACACACGCATACACATCAGAGGTCAACTTGCAGGAATTGGTTCTCTCCTTCCTTCCACCATGTGAGTTCTGGGGCTGCAGCTCAGGTTGTCAGGACTGGTGGCAAGTGTCTTACCCGCTGAGCCATCTCATCAGCCTGGCAAACAAGGACTGTTTTTAAAGCATGTTAATGTAATTGAGGATGCTGTTTCTTGGGCACGGTGAAGATATGTAAGTAAATCACAGTTGCCATGGCATTTTCCTGTGTAATAGATAAGGTTTTCAACATTTCCTTATGTGAAAGTTAAGGACATTATTTTCAAAAGACACTTACTGATCATATCATGAACATTAAGAATAATGCATCTTAATGACTTTTGCATTAGGTATGGTGCAGACTAAATGGACTATCAATTTCCTGTATTTTTTATGCAGTACTTAAAGTAACGGCTCATTAAAAATGAACCCCTGGGCTCTAAAAAATTTTTTCAAAATCTACTTTTGACTGGAGATGTCTTTCACCCTTCCAGACTTCAGTTATAAGATAGCTGCAGGCTTTTATGGACGCAGGATTTAAAGATGTACTCCGGGTTATTTTCTGCACTGCCCACCCTCCTGCTTGTACCCTGGAACGAACAGCAGGACTGGATTTATACTAGGTGGACTTTTCTCTGGTATCTCGACTTTTGCTGGAAATTTGCATCAACATTTGTCTGAGACTAATATAGGTAACAGAATGGGTACAGTTCTGAAGCTTCAGTACCAACCGAGAAAAATTTATAAACAACAAGAGACATAATAGCTTCCCTGAGCCCCGGTTTGAGCTTGCCTCCCTAGTTTCCTTTTACCTGACTTTGTACTCTGTTCGGAAAACCTTTTCTGGTCTGGGGAAGGAACTGCTAGAAGCACAGCTCCGCTTTGGGGGCCTGGCCTGAGGCGGACGAGGCGGATGACTTAGCCTTTCAGGACCACAGTTGCCTCCTCTGTCAGTGGTGGGTGATAACATACGTCCTTTCTACTGCACAGGGCAATTGTAACGATCAGATAGGGTCACAGATGTGAAAGCGCTCTACAAACGCAAGGTGGTAGTACTGTGGACATGATGGACAAGACTAGACTCTTGCTTTTCCCTCAGACTTGAATTGGAGCCCACAGTCAGGACGTATGCTTTTGATAGCCTTCAACTTCAACCAGGATATTGTTTCATCGTAATGAAAACTGGAAACTGTCTGTGTGGGTTTCTGCCAATAGTTTTAATTTAGGGTAGGAGGAAAGAGAACAAGAAGGATGGCATGATTAACAGAGCATTGCATTCCTACCAGCCCAGAGTAGGAAAAGTCAATTTCCCATTGACTTCCCATTAACTTATGTGGGAGTCTTTGTGTACTGAGAATTTAGAGCTGAGATCATCGGTACGTGGAAGGCAGAGTGGGATTGTCTTTTCCAAGGCGGCACTGCTGTTGATGGATTGGCTAACTCTCCCGAGAGCATGACTCCTTTGTTTTTCGGAAATGCACGCACACAGGCGGGTTCTGGTTTTCTAATGTAAGGCTTTGGCAGAGAACTGACAACAGTGTACTTTCACAGGCATTCGGCATAACCACATCTAAGCAGTGTGGACTTCTCAGAAGGACCTTGCTAATCGTGCCCCCTTGTGAAAGAGAGTGCTGAGTGTGGTCCTCATGATGCTGCTAATCCTTTCCATGTCTGAGTGCCCAGTATGTAAGCTCAGAGCTTGAAAGTCTCTCTCTCTCTCTCATTGATTTTTTTTTTAACTTATTTGTGTATCTGTGTGTGTCGGGGGTGGTAAGGTAAAATGGTAATGGAGGAGTGTGTAAACATCTTGTGTGTGAGTGCAGATATATGCATGCCAGGGCATGTATGTGGAGGTCAGAGGACAAGGTGAGGAGGTCAGTCTTCACCTTCTGCCAGTTTGAGGCAGGCCACCGCATGTGCCAGGCTAGCTGGCCTTTGAGTGTCCGTGGAATCTGCTGTATTGCAGTCATCCTGCTGCAGTCTGGGGTCACAGACACTTGCCGCCATACCTAGCTTTACATGGCTTCTGGAGAAGTTTGCATGTTTCTGATGTAGCACTTTCCTCACAGGGCCATCTCCTCAGCCCTTAAAAAGGAGAATAATTTAATCATTCTGTGATAGACATTAGCTCTAGTTCGTGTCTGTGTGTGTGTGTGTGTGTTGGGGGGCTAGAGATTGATCCAGAGCCCCATATTTCCCAAGCATGCATCCCATTGCTGAGCTACCCTTCCAACCCTTCATCTCTATTTTGTAAATGTTTGAAAGGCATGCCCAAGGTCTTAAAGCTGTATTGAAAGTTCAGACCCCGGCCTGGAGAGAAATGGCTTGGTAGTGAGGAGCAGGGACTGTTCTTGCTGAAGACCTGAGTTTGGAACTGCCCGGAACTGCAGTTCCGGGGGATTTGACACCTCTTCTGGTCTTTGTTGGCACCCACATGTGCATGCACAAACCCACACACAGACATACATATATACACATAACTAAAAGTAAATTTTAGAAAGAAACTATAGATTTTCATTTAGCCTTTCGAAATCCCACGGCCATTCATTCTTTCACACAGTATCTTTTTGGTCTACCACCTAAAAAAATCTACTGGAAACTCTGTCAAGGCCATTATAAGACTTGATTGATTTATTTATACAATATCTTACTTGTGCTGTCTGGACTATACATTCCCTATAACTTACATTTATTTTTCAAATACATTATTTAATTATTTTTTGTTGTAGAAACATTAGTCATGATCATATAATCTTGTAGGACAGACATGTCATTAAATTTAGTAGTCCCTGAGATTCCTTGAGAGGTGTTTTTTGGTCTGAAAACAACTATCCCTCTTAGTTTGTCTCAGTCCTTCTGGTTGGAAATTATTATGGGGACCAGCATTGTCACAGTAGGTTTCACAGATAGTCCTGGGGTCACCAGCCTGGTAAAGGAATTTTTCATTGGTGTTTATTTATTTAAATTTTATTTTATTTGACTCTTTTGTTTTCAGTATGTCCCTCCTTGCACTCCACACTCTCTCTCCTCCCCCTTTCCCCTTCAGAAAAGAGCAGGCCTCCCAGGGATATCAGCCACAGGAGGCACAAGGAGACACAATAAAGACCTTGAGAGCTTGTTTAGACCAGTCTTCCTTTTGGGGGAGGTTGTCCTTTTCAACTGAGCATGCAACTTCTGAAGAGACTCAGGTAGAGCTATAAGGAAGGAAGGGGATACCCATCTAGCCAGCCAGGTTAGCTTAACCAGCCCTGGTGATCAGTGGGGTTACAGATGCCCTCCCAGAAGCCTAGGCTATAACCAAACATGACTGGAGAAAAAAATAAGTCAATGTAACAATGCCTAATAATATTCTGCTATACTCATAGATTGGTGCCTAGTCCCATTGTCATCAGAGAGGCCCACCCAGCAACTGATGGAAACAGATGGAGAGACTCACAGACAAACATTAGACTTCTCCGGGACTTCTGTTGAAGAGAGGGAGGAAGGATTGTAGGAGCCAGAGGGGTCAAGAACATCACACAAAAACCCACAGAATCAGCTAACCTGGGCTCATAGTTGCTCATAGAGACTGAACCGACAACCTGTAGCCTGCATGGGATTGACTCTGCATACATGTGACAGTTGTGTAACTTGGTATTCTTTTGGGATTCCTAACAATGGGAGCAGGAGATGTCTTTGACTCTTTTGTTGGCCCATTCCTCATACTGGGTCATCTTGCCCACCCTTCATACAGGGGGAGGTGCTTATCTTACTGTAACTTCATATGCCATCTTCTGTTGATATTCATGGAGGGCCTGCTCTTTTCCAAATAGAAATGGAGGACAGGATGGGGTGGGGCAGAGGGGAAGTGGCAGGGGAGGGGCTGGGAGGAGAGGAGGGAGGGAAAACTGCAATCGGGATGAAAAATAAATAAACAAAACAAAACAAGACACAATAAGGCTAGGCACAAACCCTGATATCAAAGCTGGGCAAGGCAACCCAGTAGGAGGAAAAGGGTCCCAAGAGCAGGTGAAAGAGTCAGAAATACACTTTCCCACTGTTAGGAGATACACAAAAAATACCAGGCTAATAACTATAACATATTCAGAGGACCCAGGGCAGACCCATGCAGGCTCGGTCCAGTGAGCCCTGATTAGTTGATTCTGTGGGCCATGTGGTCCTGGTTTTTGCAGCCCCTCTGGCTTCTACAATCCTTCCTTCTCTTCTGTGGGGTGGGACCTAGTGGAGATCATCGTAGTAAGTGCTTACATAAAAGATTGAAGAGATCCCACACTAGCAACTTAACAGCACACCTGGAAGCTCTGGAACGAGAAGAAGTAAGCACACACAAGAGGAGTAGAGGGCAGGAAAAATCAAAACGAGGGCTGAAATCAATAAAATAGAAACAGAGATAACAATATAAAGAATCAAAGAAAGAGTTGGTTCTTTGAGAAAATCCACAAAAATAAACCCTTATCCAAACTAACTAAAAGATGAGGAGAAAGAATATCCAAATCAGAAACGAAAATGAGGACATAACAACAGATACCAAAGGATTACTAGGTTATACTTTTAAACGTGTACTCCACAAAATTGGAAAATCTAAAAGAAATGGATAGTTTTCTCAGTTTTTATTTTATACATTCAAATTTGTGTGCTGGGTGTAGTAGGTAGCTCACACCTTTAATCCCAGCACTTGGGAGGCAGAAGCAGGCAGATGTCTGTGAGTTTGCAGTCAACCTGGTCTACACAGTGACTTCTAGGCTATCCAGAGCTACACAGTGAGTCCTCTTCTCAAAAAATAAATAGGTGTCTTAGTTAGGGTTTCTATTGCTGCAACAAAACACCATGACCAAAAAGCACGTTGGGGAGGAAAGGGTTTATATTTCAGCATTACTGCTCATCACTGAAAGAAGTTAGGACAGGAA